TAGTTTTATAGATTTATAAAGATTATAGGCAAAGCAGGTGCTCAGGGGGCCTTGGATCTCTCCGTCAATCTCAAAAGGCCAAGAGTGAAGTTTTCCATGGTCATTTATAGGTACAGTAACCAGTTGCCAGGGGTAACAGATTTACATAACAACAGGTAGTTCCTCTTAGGTTAACAGTTTTTCAAAAGGCTTCTTCAGATCCCCTAACTAACTCTTTCTACGTGAACAAATGGTTACAAAATTGTTCAAAGGCTAACTTCTAAGTTCTAAGGTAAATTTATCACTTAACAGAGGGATTAAACAGATATATATTGGCTCCATATTTTCTTTATCAGGTTATTTATGAATGTAGACAGGTAGTCAGGAGTTTAAGCAGGAACTGTCCCTTGAGCTAATTGCTTTTAGCCATAGGTGGCTGTTTGTCGGGTGGGCATTCTCTGATCAGCTCTCATCCTGTAGTTCTTAGCAGACCTGCCTTGTTTTTCAAAGCAAGTCCAAACCTTAAGTCTGAGAATCGGGGCACCACTGTGGGATGCAGCCACTACCAATCTTTCAGAGATGCCCGCCTGAGGTGAAACAGCTTTCGATATGCAAAGTAACACATTCACATATTCCTTCAGGGCAAAGCTCTACAAAACTCCCGAGACATTTCTGTCTCCAATATATTTATATTAATTTATGGAGCAACAAGTTTTGGGGTGGGCTAGAGCAGTGGAACTAAAGAGAGTATGACTATTTTAAATTCTAAGAACTTTCACATTAGTGGTTGGAAATTTAGACTGAAGGTTATTGTTAAGAGGTTCCAAGAATCCTAGATTTTTTGTGTTGGAGATCTTATAGATTTTGTATGATGACTTTCTCGTTGTGTAGATGTGGAAACTGAGGTCAAAGAAGTTCAAGGTCTCGCAGCTGGCACAGAGGTCAGTGATCTCTCCACTGTGCCATGTCGTCTCCTGATAATTTTTAAGTGTTACTCTTCTGCAATGAGATGCTCTCTTTAATTAACTAACAGGATGCACAGAATTTGCATCATTCTTGTTTAATATCTACTTGAGAGTCACTTACTTGTTCATTAAAAAAAAAAAAGTTATTCTTAGCTCCTTAAGGATGTGGGAAGGCTCGATAGAGAAGAACTGAATTCGGGCGGCACAACTTTTTTCCATCTTGGCTTTATTGCCATTTCTGTTATTTTTATTAAATAGTTCATATTCGTCTTTGGATTTAAGGAGCTAAAAATGATTTG